ATTTAACACATTTACCTGTTTCTAAGACTTTGTTATATATAGTGCTTTTTCTGCCTGGAATGTTCTTTCCCAATGTTTTACTACCCTCCTTCATTTTTTAAGATGCAGTAAAGATATCACATCCACCAGGAAAAAGCCTTCCATGTATTATCAGGGTGAGTCCAGTTTCTAGATGGTCCAACGAGTTCCTCAACTAAACCATTATCATTGCATTTATTTAAATGTTTTCTTAATACGCTGTCTTATGCTGAATAGTTATCATCTCCAAGGGCAGATATTGTGTTTTAGGCTGTGTTGTACAAAGACTTAGCCTTGTCCCTCCAGTGCCTAGTACATACTTGGCATAGCATAGCCACAGGTAGTCAATCTATCTTGTTAAAAGGAAGTCGTAGTTATTTTCCATTTTGTATATTGCTGCAAAATTAATATTTCTACAGTTCTATTTTCAACATGCCCTAATGCTATTCAAAACCATTCTATAGCACATGAAAAAGCATAAGTATTTACATCTGTCTTCCAAAACAAGACCCCAAAATAGACACAGCTTTATCTTCCAGCACACTTCCTCATATTTCCCCGATTCTAAACTGGTCTACTTGGAATTTTCCGAACTAACTTTTTGACCTCTACCTCCTCAAGCCATTACAACCCATAAAAATACTGGCCCTTGAAATTCAGTGCTTACTTAGCAACTCACTAGCAATTAATCCATGATGCGATGATATTAAAAGCATGGTTAGGATGGATACCTGAATGGAAAGGTCACTAATAATTTCCAAATCACCAGATAAGTAGTAGGGAAAAGGCTTAGATGACTTTCTTATTCAACTTATAAAGGATAGCACAAATGTAAGAAAAGCAATAAACTTTTGTTTTCAGCTTTACCCACCTTTTGTCCTCCAGTCCAGACTTCTCTTAGGATTAGCTAGTATAAGACTTCTTTCCCTGAAGCTATGCTTCTTCTATTAACCCAGTGGTTCTCAACCTTCCTAATGCCATGGCCCTTTAATACAGTTCTTGTGGGTTGCAACCCACAGGTTGGGAACCACTGTGTTAATTAAAAAACTAACCTGAAAATGTTCTAGCAACAGCTAGAATTCCAGTAAGGAAAGAAAAGCTCCAGCAAAAAAATCAGGGCATCGTATGACCTTGAGCACGTGGCCTTTTGGAACTACCACATTAACCCACCCCTCCCCCCTCACCCCAGGGGTCCTACACAGACCAGTCAGCTGTTTCTGAAACAAGACCTACTGTCAAGAAAACAGATGACATTAAGTCAAAGAAAGATAAAAGTCTGACTCCATCACCTCCAAGTACTCTGGAAATTATTGCACCTACAGAGGGAGAGAGGAAAATACCAGTGCTGAATCTTCCAAACAACACTTTGATTCCCTCTGAGTTCTTATAACCAATGTATTGGCCTATTGGAAAGAAACTTAGGGTAGAAGGGCAAAGGTGGGACAGAACAAAAGGAATACATATAAATATTCAAAAATTCTTAAAATGCCTGCTGTTTGAAGATACTAAGAAGAGAGTTGGACTCCTGGGGATGAACCGAGGAACAAGCTAGGGATTATATACAGAAAAGAAAGAACAAAGACTATTAATAAATAGGCTTATAGGAAAGGAAAAATCATCATAGCATACTATATGGCTCAGCTGGCAGTTTTCACATAGTCACAAAAATGCAATACTGAATAATGATCTAATTGTACCCAACTGGGAGGATGAGAAGGAGAGGGGTGTGTATGTGTGTGTGTGTGTGTTGAAGAGTTGTGTGACTATGTTGTGATGGAAAATCAAAAGATGATTACAACTGGAACATTAAAAAGTAGCTATGTAATATCATTTAGAAATACCAAATAATCAGTTACAGGGGTTGAAAACAAATGGCTCTAGGGAGAACGTTTGTTTTGGAGGGGATTGGGGATGGCTGGTTTATATAACAACATTTCTAGAATTTTACTTCATGCTTTATATACATGCACATGTATTTCAGACTTTAAAAACATACATTTTAAAGCAAGATGTAAAACAATCCCATTTTTATGTACATTTTCAAAACATGCAAAATAATTTTTATGGACACGAACGAATCTAACACTTGTAAAAATTAGAGTGATGACTGAAATTTGTTGAGCACTGCCCATGTGCCTAGGCACGCCTCAGTTTCACACGTCTTTGCGCAAATATGCAGTAGCCACCATGGGCTTGGTGCTGTCATCATCCTCCATCTCACAGATAAGAAAACTGACAAGCAGAGTGGTAAAGTGATTTGCTGAGTATCACACAGGCAGGAAGGGATATACCTAAGAGTCAAACTCAGGCAGTCTGGTTCCAGCAGCAGATTACTACCTTCTCAAGTGAAAGAATTAAAAACAAAAACAGGAAGATATTTACCAAAGCCATCAGAGTAGCTGCCAGTGGTAAAGAAAGAAAAGGAATGGGATTGGAGAAAGGTAGAAAGTGGACTTAAACCTTATTCAAATTTTTTTTTCCTTTTGAACTAAAACAAATACGACAAACTTTTAACATTTGATACTGGATGGTGGCCAAGGCAGGACAATCATTTGAGGTCAGGAGTTTGAGACCAGCCTAAGACCAAGACCTCATCTCTACTAAAAATAGGAAAAATTAGCCATGTGTGGTGGCCCACACCTATAGTTCCAGAGACTAGGGAGGCTGAGCTGGAGGATTGCTTGAGCCTGAGAGTTAAAGGTTGTAGGGAATATGATGACACCACTGCACTCTAGCCTGAGAGACAGAACAAGACTCTGTCTCCAAAAATATAAAAAAAATAAAAATAAAAAAACTCACTGGATGTGGGAACGTGCACATAGTATTATTCTCTGTAGTACTCTACCATTTAAAAATGTTTATTAATAGAAAGAAAAATTTGATTTAGGAGCATAAGAATTTATCAATCACCTTAGTGATTGATCAGTTAAGAATCCAAATTCTAAACCCAAACCACAAGACAGGATCCCAGCTGACATTCGCTGTGTAACCTTGGACAAGTTGCTTAACCATTCTTTATTTCAGTTTCTCCTTCTGTTAAAAATAGTAGCTGACACTCGTGTATTCCCTACTCTCACTACTACTGTATTTATTGCCATCCAAGCATTTACTACTGTTAGAGAACATCTTGTTTACTCTTTGCCCACTAAATTGCAAGCGTCAAAAAAACAAGGACCTTGCTGTCCTGTCCTCAGCTGTAACTCTAGTGCCAAGAACGGTGCTTGGTAACTGGCAGTGGCTCAAATAAATCTGTTAAATAAACATTGACTGTGGTGATAGAGAACTGCTTGTACTGTCCCCTGCAGCTGTCATGCTATCTCACCTCTCAGTCTATGCTTCCATTGGTCCTTGGGCTGGAAGGCCTTTCCCTTCTCCATGCCTCAGCTCAGGCATCAGGTTTTCCACAAAGGCCTCTTTGAGGTTGGGCCTCATGCCCCTCCTCTGTACACCTAGAGTGCCTGGTGCAAAATTCAGTCCTAACACATGACACAGAGGACTAAAATGATATGCTTGTGTGTCTATCGAAGAAGCAGTCGAGTGTACTGAGACCATCAATTCTAGGGCCCAAATGCCTACATTTGAATCCTGGCTGTGTGGTCTTGTGTAAACTAATCCATGTCTCACTGTCTTGGTCTGTAAGATAGGGATGATAATAACAGCACATATTTTATAAGGTTCTCAGAGGATGAAAAGAATTTGCATTTGTATCAGTAAAGCACTCAGAAGAGTCTCCAATACCTGGTGAATGTGTTAAATTATATAATTAAAATCTCAAGGCCACCATAGTATCTCACCTCTGTAATCCCAGCATGTTGGTAGGCCAAAAGTGTTAAATTATAAAAATCTCCAGGCCAGTACAATGGCTCAGCTATGTAGTCCCAGCACTTTGGAAAGCCAAGGCAGGAAGATCACTTGAAGCCAGGAGTTCCAGCCTGGGCAATAGCAAGACCCTGTCTCTACTAAAAAGAGAAAAATTAGCTGGCCCTTGTGACAGGTGCCTGTAGTCCCAGGTACTCAGAGGCTGAGGCAGGAGGATTGTTTGAGCCCCAGAGCGTGAAGTTGCTATGAGGTAGGCTAAGGCCTTGGCACTCTAGACCAGGAGACAGAATGAGACTCTGTCTCAAAAAAAAAGAAAGAAAAAAAAATCAAAAAAAAAAAAAAAACTGGCCTTTGATTTTATTGCACTGTTGAGTGTTGCAGAAACTAAATCTGGATAAATAAAATTCAACTTTATCTCCAAAGTCCTAAAACCTTCACTGAGCTTCGAACACAATTATAAACTCTTTATCTAAACGTTCAGATAGTTTTAAATCTGTTTTGCAGGTTTATTATTACCAATCTTTGGATATAGACAAAAGTAAAAAATTTGAAATAAAAGAATATAAATAACAAAAAAAGGTTTCTCAAGGCAGAGAGCAGAAATAGGCATTCTAAAACCAAAAACATTCTATTCCCTTCAAGTAAACCCTTCAAAACTCTAGTATAAAACCTTTCTCCATTTTATGTACTGCACTGTGTAAAGTATGTTAAACAACTCAATAAAAGGGGAATATTATAAAATAAGTGAACCATACTATATATTGTGGGACAGTCTTCCAGTTAGAGAAACATATTTCAGAAGTACCCATTCCTTCCATAAAATGTATTTTAGACACTCTCCAATCTTTCAATTAAAACCAACCAGAACTCTACTTTGGAAGTCAGAACAATGTAATCTGAAAATCTGTGCCCTCATATCAATTTGAAATTTTAAAAAAGGGGAAAAACTAACAAAAATAAAACCATACTTCCTCAACAGAAAAAGCTTTTCAGCTCAAGAAAATCCTATGGTATACTTAAAATCTAAAAGGAACAATGTAACAAGACTTTTGGGGTGGTTGACAAACAGCAGTATGTCCTATCTATAAAACAGATAAAATCAGCTAGAAAGCTAGCGTTGCATTTGTAGGCAACAATGATCATAATTAAGCTAAAGAAAGACATGTTTTTCTTGTCATCTTTATTCAAGTATTTCACAGCAGTTATATTACAAATTACAGTAAATGTTCAAATTCCAGAATTTGAAAATTAAATAATTTACTTCAAACTAATGTAAAATGAAGTCAAATGCAAAATATCAATTTAACACAATTCTAAATTAAACTACAAACCCAAAATAGACCATAGTTGATGAAGTCTACTTAATCTACAAAGTAGACATACATGACTGAAACCAAATAGGACTCCCAAAGTCTAAGTAACCAGATGTACAAAATACAAAAGATGCAGGTACAAGCTCAAATTCAAGCTTACAATGTGATTACAAATAATAGTTATAATAACAATGGCATTCAGCTACGGGACCTGACACTGAAGATACCTACCAAATAGCACCATAGCTGAACCAACTTAATCAAAAAAGGAAAGATAAGAAATTACCACCCCAACTCCCTAAAAATAAAGTCCAGTAAACCTACAAATACATTGGCTTATGAGAAAAATCAAGTCAATGAAAGGACACTAAAAAAAAAAAAAAAAAAAAATCACAGGTGAGATTCAAGCTCAAAAACACAATTAACTCCACAGCCTTCAATTTCAACCCTAGTGTGGTTCCATCATCTTCAAAAAGCTCCCAGGGTCCCCACAGCTGAGCATGAACTACTGCTGGGCTGTGCTGTGATATACATTTTACTGATCTGAGAGTAGGGTTTTACATAGGAGCTCATCATTTATAATACTCACAACAGGAAATAAGAACAGAGGTCAATTTGTACATATTTTTGCCAATGCTATACAGCAAAAATTAAGAACTTACAGAAAGATAAACAAAATTGAGTCCACTTAGATAATTTCACAAGCTGCTTTAAACTATAGAACCACCAGATATTTGTAAAATAAGCAAAACTGGTATAGTGTGTTTCTTTTTAGAGGAAAAGAGGGCCAGAGGAGTTGGTACAATTTCAGCTCATTTTTCTCCCCATGGCATTAGATTGGCTTTCTTTTTAAGACCTAAACTGTTCAAAGTGGCAGTTCCTATACTGAGGTTGCCTCCGATTTCTCCATCTACATTAAGGTTCAAACAAAAACAAACAACAACAACAAAAAACCTTGATCTTTTGGAAGCATTTTAACGCCGAACACAAATAAATTTCCCTTGTCAAACTTACTGATGGCTAAAATCTTAATTAACTTGTACAAATTTAGTAACCTACTAAGAACATGTGCGTTTTTTTTTTCCTTTCACAAGTGCTGCTGTTACTTGAAAAGAATGCTTCTGACTTAGAGTAACTGGAATAAATATTTAAAAAAAAATAGTGCAGCAAGAACCTGAGACTTGCAAAAAACCCTTTTACCAGAAACTTGCTACAAAAAGTCTGCTACATCTTATTTCATCAAATCTTTAAATTCTGTAACAATTCCCATCAAAATACAAAATGCTAATGTATTAGACAGTAAAATAGTCTGAACTGGTATGATGGTAATAAATACTAAAGAAAGCATGAAAATCCTCCCAATAATCAAATTAGAGGTTTCAAATAACCTCCCCTTTAAAATGGTTCATCGTTAATCGCACTTGCCCACCTTAAAAATACAGTGTGTCTACATGGGTAGCATCTTGAATCACATGACTAAGAGAATATCATGAAAACTTCATAGACTAGGTATAAAGAAAACAAGTGGCATTAAAAAAAATTATGCTAGAATTAGAAAGTGCTAGGTGTAAATGCAAATACAAAGAAGCACTTTGGATTACTGCAGTATCCCACGGCCAAAGTATGCTTTCTGCACACTACAAACAGCCAGAGAGAAGGAGACAAGTACCTTAGCTTCAGCATGTAAACGGTGGCAAAGTGATTACAGGACTCCGTAAACACTGTTGGTGACTAAAATACAAAAAGCTGAGGTAGCTCAGTATCTCTGCAGTAGTCCAAGACCATTTGCCCTAATTAAAACCCAAACTACATGTGTTGCATATATTGAAAGACACACCTGCAGCTAACGGCTATAATGAATGAAGATATCAAGCCAACTTGTCAGCAAAATTTTCTACCTTTTTGTTTAAAAATCATCTGATAAAAAATGTCACTGCACTCCCTTTGCCTCTTTGCAACTGCCTAGACTGTGTCTCCAAAATCTGTAGAAAGTTTTTGTAAAACTAGTAAGCCATAATTAATTTCAGACACGTACAATTCACAGAAATCACTCAACAAGATCCAAAATGTGTTCAAACCGAAATGAAGAGTTGTGAAGGTAAGCTTATGGGAAGGGATTTAAACATTAATACTGTTATTCAAGGACAATACCAGAGCTCACTTGCAATTATGCATACAGGAAATGAATTTTATGGAGATTCTGACAAATTCCTCTTTTTTCTGTCCATTTGGCAAGTCCTGGCTTTAAAATAAAACAGTAACAATTTACTACACAGGAAAATCATTTTTGTCTGGGAACTCAAACATGAGTAACTATTAAATTGCCACTGACAAAAAGAAAGAAATGGCCACTATTTATTTTCTGGTCATCCTTGTCAGCAAAAAGTGTATGGGATTTTTTGTGGACTATGTATTATTTGTTGCTGTTTTACTACATGTTTCTTAAACTGTAATAGACCTTACAGGAAAACTCATCATTTTAGTATATTATGTGGCTTATTGAATGTCTTGATTGAGCTTTGAGAACAAGACAAGCATTTAATACCAAAATACTTCTTGTCTCTTAATCACACAGAGTTATCAAAACTTATTTTCAAGGTTGTGACCAAAGAAAGTATTCTAATTTATTTGCTACAAACAAGCTCATGTGTTTAGCCTTATCTTTCTCAAATGAATAAAAAGGCACATTAAAGGCAGTTCTAAAGAGCCTAATCTAATTTCATCCCATTTCTTTAGCTTTTCACCAGAATATTCCATGGCCATCTCTAAGACAGGTTTCAGTCCATTACCCAGATTAGGGGGGGATGGGGGAATATGAGAGGACAAAAAAAATAATTAACAGGCTGCCCACTGTTCAAACAATCCAAGACAATTAGAACTGCCCCAGTCCAGTACCCTCCTGTTTGCTGGTCTGCTCCCCAAGAGGAGTCTCCAACAGAGAGTGCACGGAAAGAAGAGCAGAGCAAGAGCAGTTTCTGTAGCACCAAGATCTCCAAGCTGTGGGGTTGTATTTTTTATTTGTGGAAAATACAACATGTTTCTGAAGTTCTGTTTGGTTCTTGTAGGCTGGTTGGTTTCAGGTACCTGAGACAATAGCACCAAATTCAACAGAGAAAGGATGAGTGAGAGAGCACTTTATACCAAGGCTCTGCACATAATTGGTGCAATTTGAAATTGAATGGCTCAGAAGACTGCTCTGTCAGGAGCAGATTGGAGAGGATAAACCACTCATCTTGAAAAGTTCATAGGAATGTCTCAAACATATGAACTGTTCTTTCCATCTCCTACAAGGAAAAAAAATGCATGTTATCTATTACGGAAAAGACAAAGGTATTCCTCATCATGGAATAATCCACTTTAAATTTTTAGAAACAACATTTGAGATACAGATTAAACTTTCAATCATTTTTTGATTATAATACCATAGCTACTCTATAAAAAAAATCTGCCCTAAACACTTCCAAGTAATTCCAAATTTATACTTAGGCTAATGAGAATGATGATAAGAGTAACATTCAATGAGTAACTTACTATGCCAGTAACATACCAGGGATGAGTATGAGTACTATTAACATGAGGATGGTGGTAACACTCAATAACTAATTTGTGAGAGTAATATGAGGAATTTACTATGTCAGATGTTAAAATCCATATAAGTAAATATTTATATGAATACATATATGTAATTTAAATTAACTCCTATAATAGCCCTTCTTACTCATCTCTCAGAATGGAAGTTGGAACCCTAGTAATCTAGGAGTCTAACTGTGGGAGGGGAGACTGACAGCAGAATCAGTAGTGAGTGACTTTCCTGGTGTAGGGCGATGGCAGCCACTCAGTGAGTGACTTTCCTGGTGTAGGGCGATGGCAGCCACTCAGTGAGTGGCTTTCCTAGTGTAGGGCAATGGCAGCCACTCGGTGACTGACTTTTCTGGTGTATGGTGATGGGAGCCACTCAGTGAGTGACTTTCCTGGTGTAGGTTTATGGGAGCCACTCAGTGAGTGACTTTCCTGGTGTATGGTGATGGCAGCCACTC